GTGCAAAGGAAGGGATTCAATGATAGGATGTTTGATGGCCAACCCGACAAGAAGAGGAATAGTGAGAAGCAGTAGAGGGACAAGAAACGTGAATAGAGAGAGTGGACACATGAGGCTTTAAGAGACAAGAAACCAAGCAGGAAAGGGAAGAATGATGTCATGCAGCTTTGACCTAATTCTCCAAGATACTAGAAATAACTAGAAGACTTCAGGGGAAAAAAAAGAGCTATACAGAGGTCACAGTGGTAAGGATTGGGAAGACAAATGGTAGAGAGAAGAATGTCATGTTCCAGAAGGTCCCAACAACAAAGGAACGAAGTAAGAATGAACAAGACAAAAGACAAAACCCTGGCCAAGATATTGAAAGGAACAACTATAGATCCCCCCAAAAAAACTACTGTGATTATGGTTTGGATGTTTTAGATAAAAGATTAAAGAGGATAGATAATAAAAGAGATGTGTAAGAAAAAGGCAAAGACAAGAAAATTGTGCACTAGATAGTGACACTGTAGATGGGGGATGGGAGCAGCCTTCCAAGTGGGTAGAATGGACTCCAGGGATTGGGAACTCAAGAGCAGAAAAGAATAATGGCCATAAGCCATGACAATGGAATCCTCAAGTCAAAGAGGATGAGGCATTTGATAGTAAGAATGAAAATGATTTAGGAATATGTCAACATGGACACATATGTTAGGAGAAGTAGGAAAAGAGTCAGCATAAGTCACATAGTAAGGAATGGGAAGAAACAAGTCATAGGAAAAAGGGAAAGTGAAGAGCAAACTTGAGTATTAACTCCACAATGAGATTTGAAGATGAAACAATGAAGGCATCAAAGAACCCATGACATGATTAATCTATGGTTGTAACATTTTTCACAACCAACAAGCCTCCAGTGGTCACAGATAAAGTAGAAGCAGTGTTAGCAACATTGCCAGAACCTTGAGAAGAGGTAGTAGTCACTATCACTTCAAAATTCAAGGTCATTGTAGCAATTATCTAGGTCACTTTTTGTTAGTTATTTAGTAGCAATGTAGCTTTAAATTGAAGTTAAAACAAATTAAAAGGAAACCAAAGAAAGTAAACACTGTGAAACGACAGTGCAAATATCACAAAATTAATTAAGTTTGAACTTAATGAAACATCCACTAAATACAATGCCATGGATAAGAATGAAATTATTTTCAAGTGCAAGTGCTTATGGGCATCAACTATGCATGGAGAATGTGTCCCCTCCTTATTGGTGGAGGACTATTATCTCATGATGATTACATCATACACTAGCACAGTTCATGTTATAACATGTCTCAGGAAAGAGATAGCTCATGGCTAAAGGCATATGCATGAAAAATAGCTATTGCGTGCAGACAAGTAAGAATATCGTTTTGGAATAAATTATTATACTATTCAACAACAAACTAAAACATCATCCTTTTACTAGTGTCTGTGTCTCCAGTACAAAATTTCAGATATATATATTATAAGCCTTTACACAAAAAAAATCATTATATATATAGCAAAAAATACAACATGGTATGGATAACTATCATTCTAAAGAAACAGACCTGCATTTGTACATAATTCAATGGTGTACATACAGCATCATTTCTTCCATTAATTTTTTTTTAGTCAAGAGATTTTGTGAACTCAGTTACATTTCCAATTTGTTTATTTTGCTTTTTTAATTTTAGTTTGAGCCACTTCTAATTCATATTTCTGCTCTTTATAGCTTCTTTTTTACCAACTTTCAGCTGCCTTGAATTCTTACCAAAACTATTTTGTCTTTTTCTTTAAGCTTTTCTTCTTCTGTGCTTATGGCAGATTTCTTTACTTCTAACTGCACTATCATCTCCTTCTGTGTGTTTCTGTTAGCTGATTAAGGCATTTTCTGCTTTTCTTGTGATTTCCTTTCTTATTTCCTACTTTCATAGTCTCTGATAGCTGCATTTTTCATTTCTTTTGTGGTTGGAAAATGTATGTAATTTATACTTAAGAGACTGAGCTACATCTTTTTCTGTCCTCAATCTATTTATGTTATCTTTTCCAAGACTCTTTCTTTCTGGTATGACTGTGTTTTTATCATTTGAAAGCTAGCTTTTACAATTAGCACTTTTTTGACCAATGGAATGTAAGACCTTCACTAGACCAGGAAGGAAAGAAAGCTCTTGCTCTTTTGTCCTGTTTTTATTTATTTTTTGCTTGAAAATGTAATTTGATATCTTGTTAATCTTTGGCATCTCCCAGTATCACAATATATATAATATCTTGGGATCTGTGTATTGATATGTATTTTCCATTATTAATTACAAATGTTACTTCACTTTCCTGATCTATTTGTTGGGTACTTTGTGCCAGTCTCCATATTGCATTGCTTCTTAAGTTTGATTTCTGAAGCAGCAGGTGCAGACATTTCTTCAAAATATAATAAAGAGGAGAGTGTTTGAGGAAACTGGTATTTTGTTATTAATTGATAGTATTTTTGCAATGAGTAGAGGACAATCTTCTGAGCATTAAGCATGAGCTTTTCCTGCTGACTAGAATGGGTGTCAACCCAAACATCCATCTAGGATAAACTCAGCTGTTTTTTTATTACATCAATCTCAGTTAAGCACTTTTCCATGTTTATTACCTACTACAATTTTCTTCAGAACCCTTCTCGTAAAACTCTTCTCCAGTTCTACAATCACTTCATAAGGGACTTATAAGGGGGTCCCTAAGAATTAAAGCTGGTCCAAAATCTCTGTTATTGTGTGTTTAAGTGATTAAAGAAAACACAGTTGAGCCTTGCCAATGTTGTCCTTTTTGAATTTACTTCTTGTTTTCTTCAATATTTCATCTATGCATGAAAGAGCATGTAAATTCTCGTGAAATTACTTTTTGATATCTGAGAGGTTCTTGGTTACAAATTCAACTGATGAAAGGGAAGAGAGCCACCTATTCTGATATGTCTTATGAAGAGAATTTGCTCAAGAAAATACTTTATGATAGCTGAGAAGTTCTCGATTACAAACTCAACTGATGGAAGAGAAGTGAACCACCTATTCCGGACGTATCTTATGAAGAATACTTGCTCCAAATCTAGTTCCACTGAAACCTTTTTCAAATCCTTTCTTATGAGTTATGAGCAACATGTAAGTTGTATAGCACTAATAGCAGTAACCCTTCACAGTCTGCCTCTTTGATACTTTCTTTCATAACTCTCTAAATTGCTTTGTTGACATTTGGGTATCTGGGGTAGAGTACTTCCAGAACAGCTTTCACCATGTTAACCATGAGAGCATTGAACAACAATTTAATTGTGTTCTTCTGATCAAAATTTCAATAGCTTATCATATTGTTTATATGTTTCATGGTAGTATATAAATACAACATGCATTCCTGCCTTCTTATTTTGATATAATATTATTGTGAATGTATAAATGCAGTATTCACATAACACATAATAGTTAAGAAAGTCATTAAATTAATATCTTTATAGTTGTTTCTAACTACCTTTGTTCTTTGTCATTTTATTGAGGTCACACATCTTCTGCCTATAGAAGTCATGTAATGATACACATTGTTCATGAAGGTCAACAGCTAGTATCCTTCAATGGTAGTTCAGGTGGTATCTCAAGGTTATGATCTCCCTTGTGCTTGAATGAGAATGACCAATCATGTGAGTGGTACTAGTCACTCTGGATAAATCCAAATCTGATGTTACCTATGAAGTAAGGAATGTTGGATTTAAGCAGTAGAAGATACAGCATCCAGTAGAAACAACCATTCCATGTTTAATAACAGCATGCACGCAAACTTTGTTAAATGAAGATTGTATATTTTGTGCACTACTTTGTGTCCATTCTCTTTCTTTCCAAGATTCAGTACTACTTCATAATATCTTTTTAAAACTTTGTTGTTAAGCAGACTTATCCCACTGCTCTAAAGTTAATTCAGTTTGAATTCAATGTACTCATTCAGCAGTCTCATTGGTACACACTGATTAGTAAGATCCTGAAGTTCTTATTTGTTCACAAAGTTATATATTGGAGAAAGGTCCAAGTTCCTCTGAAACCATATAAGAAGTCTTGGAATAACCTAGTTTAAAGTTCTCTGATACTGGTCATGGAACTGTATTGAAACAATTAATTCAGTCTATCATAATAAGCAAATGAAAACTCATTAAGAACAATAGTATCTCTGCCTCTTGTGTAGGTTTACTTGTTGATAACTTTTCTGCATCATACATGTAAACAAATTTTTTACACTCTTTCAGTGATAGGTTGATAAAAAGCTTCATGTTTATCACTCTTAGCCTATAGATATACCATAATTATGTCTATTTTGCATTGAGAAGGAACTGGAGAACAATTTACATCATACTTTGAAGTCATTAATTTTGTCCTTTTCACTCCAATATCCTACTCTGTTCTTCTTTTTACCCTCAGTCAGCAAGTATGACTCTTGAAACCTTGTCCTCCCATGAGGCATGGTAATGGTAATGGTCACTTTCTCTTACAAGGCTACATACATTTAGAAACAAATACATCTGAAAAAACCTTTACCATTTTATGTCTACTTTTGACATAAAATAATACATCTTAAAAATAAGCTCTGATGATCTTCTGTTATGAGTTAAAGAATAATGATAAGAATTGGCAATGGACAGCTTTCTTTTCTTTTTTGTTAGTCTCATAATACACATTTCAGTTTTGGTTTTTATATTAAATACATATATATATACATATTTCAATCAGTACTTTGAAATAACAAAACTTATGTCAAATACTAAAGAAACCTGTTTAAACTCTAGAAAACTACCGTATATAGAATGATACAACTTCAATACTCAATTAACACATATGAAAGAAGTTTGTTGTGTAGGGTCTCCACCATATGTCAGTAAAAGTAACTAACTGTTGAGAATTTCACATTAACTTTTCACATGGCAACTGAGTAGAGGAACCATCAAAATATTTCCTTTAGTCTTTCTTCACTAAAATTTACAAAAGTTGCAAACTTACCATTTAACACTAATCTTCAAGAGTCTCCTCCCAGCAATATTTCTCAAACAGATATAGAAATATCTTCATGACAGCTTGACAGTACTGATGATGGCAATTGAACCATCTTCTATTTTCTGATTACAAATGGCAGATGATATTTATAGCTGAAAGACACTAAAACATTCTTAGGTTTTTCCTAGTAAACAGTCTAAATATTTATATTATAACATAAAGAAATATTTGAAAAAAGTCTACATATCAAAACAAACAAGCTGCATATCCTATACCAATTTGACTTAAGCTTGAAAAATGAATAACAATGAAAACTTGTAATCTTGTATGCCATTATAGGTTTAAAAAAATGTAGTGTACTGATATTAATTATGCACTTCAGAAATTCTCAATATACTTGGCAGAGTTGAAAATGGGAAAATTAAGGTTGGTTGGACACCTATATGATAACCTTGATAACAAACTAATGTTGCATTGACCTTCTAGGAAGCCCTCAACAAACACGTCGACCATAATATTTTCTTTGTCAGCTGCTGCCATGCTAAGGTACATTTTACAGTGCAAGCATCTAAGCTCATTGGCATATGCAGCTAAGTTTTTGTAGGCACCACATTAAGAAGCCTTGAATTATGCCTGATAGATTGCTTGATTTTCTATTGAACTGACTTGTTCATGCATCTCCACAACAATGGCTTACCAGCTGCAGAGTTAGTCAAGTCCCAAGTATTCTACAACATTTACTGTCAAACCATCTAAATAAAACAATAGACATTGCATTATTTGTTTTTCCAATTCCAAGTAGCTTCAGGAAATAATATAAATCTTCTTTCACCAAATCCCAAAATGATGAAGGAATAGCCTGTTTCACCTTGCTTTCTTCTGACAATTGTAGCAAAGGCAACTTACTATTGAATGTATCATTCTGCAAAACTGATGGTGAAGCAAGAGTCCATCATGCAATAGCTTCTACCAGAAGAGTTGCTAAGTCTTCAATAAAAATTACAATTAATAATAACTAGTCTTAATTATGAGTAACAGGCAAACCACTATAGGAGAGTGAAATATGTGCTAATTGTTTATCACAACAATATATATTTATATAAGTAGGTCATTCTTCGTGTTTTGTAGCTACTGAGGTCACTTGAAGTCATGAGCTTACCATGTCATGAGTAACAAAAGAAATGAGTTGCTTTGGGTGGAAAACAATAATGAATATTGATAAAAAAGCTCTCTTAAAGCATTTTGCACTTTCTAGCAAACATTATGTGTCAAATGTTCATGCACATTTTGATGGGGAAAATGGCAAATTGTGGTTCATATTTACAGGTGATTTTTTAAAAGGTAAGTATATTTTTCAAAAGCCTTTCAACAAGTTAGCCTACATTATGTGATTTTTTTTCTACTAAATCCAGCACTAAAAATCTCAACTCTTTGTAAAGACATCTTCTAATGAAAAAGTCGTAAATGGTGTCTTTTTATTGTAATAATGCTTTTATCCAGCTTCAAACCCTAATATTTAATTGTACCATACATGTCATTTCATGAACAAAATAGTTCCTGGTATATAAAGTAAAACTTCAAAAATGCAAGAACTATCAAACACCTCAGCTGTCATATAATTATGCAACAATTGATTAGCCAGAGAAAGAAGTGAGTTGAAAATATTCCAATTGAGTAAAGGTTGCCACAAAATTGTTTTTCAAATGAATCTTGTTTATTTCTTTTTCCTTTTTTTTTTAGTTGAGATCTCATCACTCTTCTCACAATGTGGTCTCCTTGGTTTTTTGAAGATGAAAATGTGTAGTGACTTTTCAGCAGTAATTTCTCCTCTTGCCATGGGCATCCTTTAGGTTTTTTAGTGAGTTACAATCAAAATTTAATTAACAACCTCAATATGGGTTCAGTCAATTTGACCAACCACGTGATCTTTTTGTACTCCTTTAAGGTCTTCATATATTTAATACTTATAACTCTCAATATAGTGGGTATATCTTCACGAAATTTGGTAGTCTTTCAGTTAATATTACAAGTCTTTCACATACAAAAAGTCATATTTCTTAGTGAAGTATTTTTAATAAAATAAAATAAGGATTTGTATATAAATATGTTGAGTATTTGTTTTGAATAGTCTGTGTTCAAAGTAATTTTCATGTTAAAATTAAAAATACTTTTTGCCATCTCAAAAATCTCAAATTTCCTTTGTCTAATTCCTAAAACCTCCTAAATGCATTTCAAATGCATTTCATATGGAACACCCCATTTCTACAGAGCCTGTTGCAACCTAAATAAAGTATATAGTGTTAGCGGTTGCTAGTAAAAAATTGGTTTGGAAACAGCATACTTGACTGGGCAACACTTGCTACAGAGTGAGATCCTGTGAAAAAAAAAAGAGGTAATGGACCATGGAAAGGAAAAAAAAGATGAAATTAGTAATAAAAATACCCACCACTCTCTATAATCTAGCAGATGTGGTTAATATAGCTATAGGGGGTAGTCGAAAACCCTCAGAGAAAGAGACTGCCAGATCGTGCATATAATGTGAGATAAAAGCATTTGGTGAGGTCCATATACCAGCCACACAATGTTCTTCAGTGGGTATTTCAACTAGGCTGCAAAGGACATAGAAACGTGACTCGCAAAAGTTCCTCACCTCCAAAGAGAATCCAGCATAAGCAATATGGATCAGTTTACGTACCCACCCCGTCAAGATAACTGATGATAAATCCCAGAAAACTGAAGGGTCCCAATGAATAAAAAACTGTTGTCTAGCACCTCTAAAAGCTTTAGTGCTGGCAACATAACACTTCAAGGCCTTCACTGGACATAACAAACAATCAGAATCCAATCAATCATAGAAGTGAGAAATAGCTGTCAGATGAATAGGTGAAAAGGATTTATCCCCTTCCATGGTTGCCCATGTCTTAGGTAAGGAGGACATGTCTGTACATAAAAGGATGTAGGTAGAATGATAAAGCATCCTGTACATGTGAATCGCAAACAACACTGACTGTCAATATCTACAGCCAGCAGTAACAAAACATAAACCTTAAGGGAAAGGGTTACATGTTACATAAGGTCAAGGGCTCAAAATGATGTCGAGAAAGAGCATGTAACACCACCTTCATATACCAGTTAGGTAACTGAAAAAGTTGTTTGGGACAAAGGACCCAAAATGACTTGAGGAGGCTGAAGACCCCTTGGGACTCAAAGCATTTCCATTTCTTAGAGTATCAAAAATAGCCAATAAGGCCACCTTATATAGGGTGATTGTGGAAGATGTTAAACTCTGGTCAAAGAACCGAGGCAAAAACCAAGCTGTGGTTGGTATGTCTGGACAAGGTAGTTTTAACCTCCTCACAATACACCATTGCTTATACGTGTGCCATTTCATTTGATAAATGTCCATCATGGGATGATGCAGAAACTGAGACAGGTACATGGCAGCCTTAGAACTTAAACCCTGATGCCATGTGAAGGACTGCATAACCTCCACGCATGAAGCTTGAGCTTTGGAATGTATGGGTGTAAGATGTCAGATCGTAGCACTCCTGAAGGTACTGCAGAGGGGGAAACCAGGGTTATGCCAGAGAATCCAGTGCTACCAACAGAAAATGACAATGGGTAGAATAAATTATTGCTAGAACTCTGGGTAACAGACGAATCTGTGGGTAGGCATATAGGTGCAATCCAGTCCAGTCCTGACTGAATGTATCTATTGCTAATGCCCAAGGATTAGGTACTGGAGACCGAAATGCTGGAAGTTAAGTGTTCCAATGAGTGGCAAATGGATCGATCATCGGTGTCCCAAACCAATAGTAAATCCAAAAGAAAACCTCTCAATGAAGCCGCAATACTATTGGAAAAAAATCTGGTTGGGTTGAGACAATTGATCCGCAACTAAATTCATCACCCCCGGAATATGTTAAGCTAATCAGATAATATGATGGTAGTGGGCCCAATAAAAAAAGATCCAATGTTCTAAAACAAAGTGACCTGGACTGAATGCCCCTTGATGAGAATTTAAGACACCACAATGAATTTGTTGGAGTGAAGCATGACGAATATGCCCTTCAACAATTCTAGACCTAGAGACATTGCTTTTTGCACAGCAAGAAGATCTAAAACACTGATTTATAGGGAAGCCTTATCATCTGTCCATAGACCCTGGAATTCCTGACCATTGAGATATGCACCCCATCCATGAAAAAATGGATTTATGAACAAAGTGGTGGCAGAGGAACACCTATTGTAGTATTGTTCCAATCTAACCACCACTCGATATCGAAGATGTTGATCCTGATTAAGGAGATCTGGAAATCCAAAGGATCACTGTTCATAATCCACTGATCATGTAGTGACCACTGAAAGGATCTCATGTGTGCTCATCCCAAGGGAATGAGGGATTTGAGTAATATCCACATCTTCAAAAGTGAAAGAACCATCTGTGCAGTAGGAGAAGGAGACTTGAATAAGAGTGGGACTGCCTGTTCCCTAGCATGGAGCCAGATGGGAATCAGCTGAGTCCAACTGAGAAATGTGTTGAAAAAGACCCCCAGTTGGATGATACATTGAGTTAGAGTGAAAATAGATTTCTTAATTCTGATAAGAAATCCTCTCTTGGTTGCTTCGGAAAATAAAATCTGGGTATGTTGTTCTGGTGCCAATATAACAAGTTGTCCATGGAATGATGTGTGTATTGGCCCAGAGAATGGAGGTAACGAGAAAAGGCTCATACAATGCACCAGAACACATATGGTGCTGATGCTAGTTCAAAGAGTAGAACCCTGAACTGCAACACCTGAACCCTGTGAACAAAACAAATATAATGGTGGGACGACTTCACTATGGGAACTTGCAGAATAGTTGTCAGTGACAAGGAACTTAGTCATCCAAAGTCCTGCCAAAAAATTCCAATGCAGGGTGAGGAATGACTCCATTGTGAGCTTTGTAGGATCTAGGAATTTACTTAGATGAGAAAGATCGATGACCAGATGCCAATCTCTATTATTATTACGAAAACAAAATTGGCAACACGAAAAGTATATCCAACAGTCGTACAACAGAGAGACCTGCTAGTGAATGCTTTGTTTAGAAAA